CTAGGATGGCCCACCCCCGTCTGGCCTGGCTGTTCCTTGGCTTCTTCCTCCTGAGGACCCCACCCCTGGATGCCACTGCCATGGCTGCCCCCAAATTGCCTTGTCTTCACTGACACCCGCCCCCTCCAGTCTGTCCCTGGGCATCCTGCTCTCTGATTGCCACTCCTGCCTCAGCCTGCAGGCTGCCAGCAGATCACCCGTCGCCATTCGGCCACTCAAGCCCATGTCCCGGCTTCACTCTCTCCTGCATCCTTGCCTTCCCTCCCTCTGCATAGGCTCAGCTCCCAGCAGCCTTAGCTAGTGTGCCCTGGTCACGGTGGACACTGCCTCCCCCAGGGGGCCCGGGTGGGTGCCATGAGGTCAGGGTCTGGGTACCAGCGCAGCAAGGGAGTTGAGGCCAAGGCTCACACAGAGTGGGCGCTGGCCTGTCCCAGGCTCCTCTGCTACGTGAACTGCCACTCCGGCTGCAGAACTTGATGAGTCGGCCGCCAGGAGTCGGTGGGGCGGGGTAGGGTGGGAGCCCAGGCTGATCCTGGCTCTTGTGAAGCTCCCGCCGGTGGGTGGAGGATGGCCGGGTCGCCGTGAGGGCTGTGGGCCCACAGGGCCAGGGGCTCTGGCCTTGTGACCCTGGACGGGGGCCCCCCCGCCCCCTGCTGGTGTCATCTGTTGGGCTCTTGGGAGTCTTAAAGGGGGTGTGTGTGCAAAGGGCTGATCCGTTGTTCCTGCAGTCACAAGAGCCCGCCCCCCATGGGGGAGCCATGAAGGCCCCAGCTCTGTGTGGGGCGAGGGGCTTTTGACCAGGAGAATTGATTAAATCAGTGAAGGCAGGCCAGGTCGGGCCAGTGAGGACAGTGTCAGGAGGAGGGGCATGCTTTGTTCACTCCCTGTGCCTGGGGCCCAAAGGGATAAAAAAGGAAAAGGAGAGAGGTGTGAAGGGGCACGGGCGGCCTCCCGTGCTGCAGAAATCTGGGAAAGCGGTTTGGTGGGTTGACTCGGGGTTTCCCTCAAACTGCACGGGGGCTTCACCTGTCTCCCTTCATTCCCCAGCGGCCCTGCCCACCTGCCGCTGGCACCCTCCCTTCCCAGCCTGGAACTGCCCTTTGGCTCAGATGCCCCCAACCAGGCTTGCCTCCTCTTGCCCAGTGTAGCCCACTCACCTCACAGCCTCCTGGGGGGCGGGTCTTTAAGGCATGACCCAGATCACCCCCCACCCTGGGCAAAACCTGCCAGCTCCTTACCGGGTCGTGATGCATTTGGCTACAAATGACAGAGAAACCAAGGAAGAGTGTGTGACTGGCCTTCCCCAGGCCAGGCTGGTTCAGTGGCCCACCAAGGCCACCGGGCCAGCTCTATCCCCACTGTACCTGCAGGCATCCTGTTCCCATTTCATCAGTAAAAGGGAGAAGGGTCAGAGGGCAAGGGGTGTGTCACAGCTGCGTGTGTCCCTTTCACAAAGCTTTCTCAGAAGCCCCAGCCACAGCTTTCATCTCACTGGCAGGATCTGGGACCCATGGCCACCTCTAGCTGCAAGGGAGTCTGGAAAGGTGTTTTTTTTCTGGACACACTGAAGCACAGAACAAACTGGGATTCTAGGCACCTGGGAGCGTCTGCCACGCCGCCCTCCCTTCCCATCCTCCCTCCCAGGCCTTGGCTAAATCTGCCCCCTCAGCTCCAGCCTCACTGTCCCTCTGTGGCCTGGTCAGCTGTTGCCCTCCCTCCAAGACTGTTCAGCTGTCCCCGCCTCGTTACTGTCCCAAGCGTAGCTGAAAGAATAAAGTAAGGAATGGTCACCCGATGAAAGGCCATGCAACTGTTAACAAAAACATGGCCAACTGGAACACACTGATAAGGAAAGATGTCTGCTGTGGGTTGAATTGAGTCCCCTGAACAGACGTGTTGAGGTCCTTACCCCAGGTGCCTGTGAATGTGACCTTATTTGGAAACAGTCTTTGCAGGTGTTATTAGTTAGGTCATCCAGGAGTAGGTGGGCCCTTAAGCCAACGCCTGGTGTCCTTATAAAAAGAGAAGACAGGGAATTCCCTGGCCGTCCAGTGGTTAGGATGCCTGCTTTCACTGCTGGGGGCCCGGGTTCAATCCCTGGTTGGGGAACTAAGATCCTGCAAGCTGCGCGGTTCCGGGGTGGGGCTGGGGAGAAAAGATGGAGACCCACAGGGGAAAAGGGCACATGAAGATGGAGGCAGACACTGGAGGAGCAATGTGCTTACAAGCCAAGGATTGCTGGCCACCAGGTGCTGGAAGAGGCCAGGAAAGATTCTCCCTCAGAACCTCCAGAAGGAACCAACACTGCTGACACCTGAATTTCCCACTTCTGGCCTCCAGAACTTAAGAGGATAAATGTCTGTTGTTTTAGCCACACAATCTGTGGGCCGTTGTTATGGCGGCCCTGGGAAACTGCTACAATCTCCAAGATAATTGTCAACTTTAAAAAGCAAAGAACAGAATGGTCAGTACCTGGGCCGTGCTTTGCGGGAGCATGGATGTTCCCACGTGCTGGGACTCGCCTGGGACGTGCCGGGAGGGGTGCACGGCTGGGAGGAGGCGGGGACCCGTTTTTTCTCTTCGCAGCATAGCCTGGGTTCTGTTTGCCTTTTTTACTCTGTACCATGTTAATAAAGTATTCATTGCAAATAAAACAAGTAAAAATTCAAATCAGGGAGAAAATAAAATGTCAAAAAATCCACACAAACCCTACACCTCTCCCAACCCCTCCTCCCGACTGAGTTTTTGGTAACGTTTAACCATTGCAGCATGGACGGGAGTGGGGGACCCTGGGCTTTAGCAATTGCCTGGTTTCTTTCAGAGGGAAGAGAAGTGAGAGAGAGGCCAGAGGAACCTCACGGGGGAAGGAGCTGCTGCCTGGGACCCGGGGGTCAGGGGGAACACCGCTGGGTTAACAGAGCCTGTGACGTGTCTGAGGACACCCTGCCCGGGGTCACCAGCCAGCCCCTTCCCGCCCTCCTGTCCCCGGAAGCTGCAGACAAGCCTGACGTCACAGGCTGATGCTGGGGATTCAACGGGGTGTGAAGGCACAGGAGAGCTGGCCCCCTCCTGGAGCGGAAGCTGGGTCCTCTCTCCTGCCCTCCTCTGCAGGCGGGCGGGGGCTTCTGGCTCAGCAGTTGGAAGGAGAGTCCAGGCTGGTAGCTGTGGAGACTCAGTGTGTCCAGGATTGACAGCGTGTCCAGGAGGCTGGGCAGAAGTGGGGGTGCGCAGACATGAAGACACTCCTTTGGCAAGCGAGGCTTCCTCCAGGAAGCCCTCTCGGACCACTTAGGTTGGGCTAGGTCTAACCTCAGAGGGACAGGTCCATTCACCCTTCAGAGCTCCACTCAGACCTCCCCTCCTCCGGGAGGCCGAGTCTGGCCTCAGCTAGTGTCCCCTGTCCCCTCCCACCTCAGTACTTCCAGAGAGCTCCTAGCACAGGTCGCCTGCCCTGCCCAGCTGGAGGATGGGCGGGGACCAGGCCTCCCATCACCTGGTCACAACAGTCACGGAGAAGCGCTTGCTGCCTGGCGGAGACTGTGCTCAGCATGTTTGTGAGCTTTACTCCCTTAATCCTCACGCCTCCATTAGCCCCATTTTGTAGATGAGGAAACCGAGGGTCTGGAGGTACTCCGTAGCTGGCCCAGGTCAGGCAGACCACCACCATGCTGGCCCCTCTGACTCCAGTGTCGGGGTGGGACTGAGACCTCTTCCTCTATGATACACAAAGCCCCACTGTCTTAAAAAAACAAAGAACACTTTATTCCCTTGGTGGTTTCTGTACAACAATGATGCCACGTGTACAGGGTGGGAGTCCTGTCCTTCCTTGAGCACAGCCTGCCTCCCGGGAGAGCTTATCACTTTGCCCAAGAGGCTGAGCGCCACTCGGGGCAAAGGAGGCCACTGTCACCTCCAACTTGTGCAAAAGCATCCTCTTCCCCGCCCATTCTCATGGCCGTGATGTACTGGATGCGCCCGGGCTGCCCTGAGCTCACACCACAGCCCTGCTTCTAGTGACAGCCCCTGGAGCGTGGGCTCAGATGCCCTTTGGCCTGGAGGGGCCCAAACTGGTGGTACCTGTGCCCACTTACAGGCCCTGCGATGATTCACAGGGACACGAAGCATTGAGAGTGCCTGGGAGAGACACCATTTCCTGGGGAACCCTGTTGTTGGTTCCTGGCCGTTGGTAGTGGGCCAGAGCCCCAGACATCTGCTGACCCACGTCCCCACTTTACAGATGGGCAGCCTGAAAGCCCAGAGGGTGAAAAGACTTCTCCTTGCCATGGCTGTATTTACCTGTTGAGATCTCCCCTCCCACTGACCTGTGCCCGCTCCCCCACCCCAGCCCCTAGGCCAATAAGGAGCTTCCAGAAGGCCTCATGGCTTCTTAGTGGTCCCCCAGATTACCCTCCAGTGGGAGCGTCAGGGGTAGGGGTATTCCCAGCCTTGCCACATGGAGAAGCTGGGGTGCACTGGCAGAGGATTCAGTTCTATGACACCAGGAGCCCCTGAGCTGCCTCTCTGTCCCTAACACAGACTGGACAGGTGGCCGAGAAGTGTCCCGAGAGCTCCGCCAGGTGGAGGATCTGCAGCGTTAGCGAGTCGCTGGCAAGCTCATGGGTGGGTCATCAGAGACCCCATGGTGGTGTGGCTGGGATCCCAGGAAAGGGCTGGCGTGTTGGCTGGGTTTCTGGAAGACTCCAAGTAACAGTGCCAGGCTGGGCGCCGCAGGGGCATCATCTCTGAGCTTCCTGACTGTACAACGCGGGTATGAGGATCCCCATTTCACAGAGGAGAAAACCGAGGATGTCAAATTTGTGGCCAGGGTTGCCCAGCTCAGGCGTGGAATTCAACCCAGGTCTGATGGAGTCCACAGCCCACGGGGTCTGGGAGTCCGGTGCAGGGCGGTCGGTGTCGGGGGCCCAATTTATGTCTAGGCTGTGTTTTGGAAAAGCGGCCCCGGGAGAGGTCGGGCCCTCGGGTGCCGGGGGCCCCGGGTGTCACAGGCTGGAGGGCTGGGCCAAGGCGGGCCCCGCCGGGGCGGCGGGCACGACATCGCCCTCGGGCCGGGCCTCCTCGCCGCGCGCGTAGCTGAGCACCACGGTGACGGTGGCGAAGGTGGCAGCATTGACGGGGAAGGCGCGCAGCAGCGTGGAGGCCAGCCCGCGCGTGAAGACGCGCCAGCCCTCGGCGTGGTAGCTCTGGCGCACGCAGTCGAGGATGCCCCGGTAGCGTGGGGCGCCCCTCAGCCCGTCAGCCTGCAGCCGCGACTTGACCACGTCCAAGGGGTAGGTGGAGAGCCAGGACGCGATGCCCGACGTGCCGCCCGCCAGCAACAGCTTGGGCACCAGCAAGCGGTCGCCCGGCTCGCAGCCCAGCGCGCGTGTCAGCGTGTCGTAGGTGAGGAAGTAGACGCCGAAGCTGGGGGTCTCGCGCAGCAGCGTGGACACCATGCCCCGGTTGACGCCACGCAGGCCCTCCCGCCGGTAGACCTGCGCCAGGCAGTCCAGGGGCCCGCGGTAGGTGCGGGCCGGCCCCGCCTCCTGCAGCTGCAGCCGCGTCTTGGCCAGCTCCATGGGGCAGCAGATGACACACTGGATGGCACCCGCCGCCGCGCCCGCCAGGAACTGGTTCAGCGGCGAGTCCCGGCCCAGGGCCCGGAGGGTGTTGCCCTGCACGCCGAACACTAGCGCGTTGATGAAGGTGAGCCCCAGGAGGGGCGAGCCCAGGCCGCGGTACAGGCCCAGCACCTGCGGGGCGCACAGAGACGCGTCAGGGGCGTTCCCGCTTGGAGTCCGGGGTTGCCCAAACCCACCTCTCCAGGGACCCTCCATGCAGCTGGCAGCTGCCCCGGCCCACCCTAGCGGTACACGAGGATCAAGCAGAATTTTAGTAGGATCGAAGCCCTCAATCTGAGAGGCCTGGGTACTTGCACCCTGCCATTCGCAAAGCCTGGATTTGCCCAACAGTTGCCCCGAAGCCTCTTTTTCCAGCTCTGTGGTTTTGCGGACGGCAGCATCCCAGAGGCTGGTTCCCCGCCACACCCCCACCAGCCCCAGGCCACTCACGCTTTCCTGCTTGATGATGGCCTGGAAGCAGTGCAAGGTCCCTCGGTACTGGGGCTTCTCCATGCTCTGGACCTGGAGCCGCACCTGGAAGGAGGGCCCGGTGAAAGGCGGGCTAGTGGAGCCAGAAGGCCCAGCTCCCCGGGGCCAGCACTCAGGACACCCGGGAGGCTCTCTCCAGGAGGCCCGAGGCCAGACCCGCAAGGCAGGGAGCCAGGGAGCTTTCTGTGGCTTTAGGAGTTCCAGGGTGGGGCAGGGCTGGGTGTCTGCGCCTCTTTAGGGAAGGCTATCGGAGGGCAGTCACAGGGACAGCCAGCTGCAGAGGGGCAGGGGTCCTCAAGACCCCTGCTTCACTATCTCTGCACCATGTAGTGACAGTGGGGCATGAGACATCTCTCGAGACCTCCCCACCCTCCCGGTAGCAAATCGTGGCCAATGCCAAAGGGGCTCAGGATCTAACATCCCACCGCGCACTCCCTTCATCAGGGGCTGGCAGCGCGCAATGGGCACTAAAAGTGAGGAGCCTCGGGCCTTGTGGGCCTTCCGCTTGGTTTCTGCCAGTGCCCCCCGGTGAGGGCAGTGGTCATGAGTTAGTAAAGTGGTGGCAGGAGAGCAGCTGGCAGCCTCCTTGGGGACCGTGTCAGCAACTCTGGGGCCTGGGGGATCAGGCTGCGCTGCCCTTGGAGCCCAGCGGGCCAGAACCTCACTGTGAAAGCGTTCTTTGTTGACCGAGAGCTTATCTCTGTCCTTGATACGCAGGCCCCACAGTGCAGAGCAGAAGCACACTTCCTGAACTCCGAATCCGTGTCACGCGGGTCGGGGTGAGCTAGGTTAGGTCCCATTCTGGGAGCTGGTCTCCGGCTCTGACTCAGAGATTATCACCATTACAGGCATAATCACTGGCCGAAGTGGGTTCAGTCACTCCCATTTCAAAGGTGGGAAGACAGGCTCAGAGATGTTTTGCAACTCGGTCAGGCTGTCCACTCCAGGGACATGAGTGGCTGTGTTGGTCGGGGCCAGGGTGGGGTAGGGGTGCTGGCGAATGCACTTACAGGAAATGTTTTGTAAGGAAAAAAAGAATACCATCTCGGCACACGAGGACCTCAACCAACAGCTGGCAGCCACTGCTCTGAGAGGCAGCTGACCACCGAGGGCACCCTGCGACGTTCACCCCAGCACCCCTCCCTGCCCTGGCTGCCAGCTCAGAGGAGAAAAGCACAACCACTCCATGAACTTGGAGAACATATTAACACCACGAGCTCTGTCTCAGGTTGTTTTCTGTGATGGGAGGCTCTTCATTTTCCCTTCAATGTTCTGGGGTCTCTGGGGGACTGTCTCTTCCTCCTCTGGTCCCCACCAGCAGACATGATCTGAAACGGAGCTGTTCCCTCCGAGGGTTGGACTTTCAGACGCCCCGGGGGAGTCTTTTAAGTCTTGACAGGATGCCATTTGAGGACTGAGGGACCCACCCCTGGAAAAGCGGTCATTCGCACACAAGCCCTGGAGGCTCCCAGCTCCCCGACGGGGCTGGGAGACCCCACGTGAAGACTCCCTGATCCAGAGGGGGCTGATTCTTCTCAGCCAGCCCCCAGGGCTCCCACCCCAGGATCTGGGCTGGGCCCAAGCTCACCTCACACCCTCCCTGTCCCTAGCTGGGGAGAGATCTCTGGGGCATGGGGGGTGGGGAGGGGCGTGGCGTGGCGGGGTCCAGG